AAGTCAGGGCATTGAGATGCATAGGTAGATCATAGTACTTACAGATGGCTGGAGATACTGCTTGACCCTAGGAGATAACTGCTTGACGCTAGGACAATGGAATCCTTTGAAGGGGGCCAAAATTTACTCCTCTAAAACTTGATTGTCTCTCTGTAATGCTTAAAGATAGCCTTAAAAGATACAATGTCCCCAGAGGATGAATTAATTTGGCTCCTAACTCTCCCTCCCCATAGTTTCCAATATAGGATAGGCTGAAGATGGAAAGAAAGGGAGATATCAGGAGTGCTGTTAATGTTGTTAAAAAAGTCTAATAAACTCTTTGGAGTGGAAGTTATTTTTTTCCTTTTTCTACTTTTGCTTACTTCTCTAAAAACAAAACAAAAATCCCCAGCAAGATGCTACCGGATTAAATTGCTGATCTCTCAGTAACAAGGAAGACCAACATTAAGATTTTCTATGCTGGCTTAATTGTAAATTCTTGTGCATATTCATTATGATAGCATTATTCCTTATGTAACTAAAAGCTATGTTTTGTACACAGATCTTCCCCTTTTTCTTTTAGAGAGTAGGAGAGCATTACTTAAGGACTCAGAAGCATGTCCACAGAGAGTTTCTTTCACTGTGTAAAGAAGCTGTGAACTGATGAACAATGAAGTACTGCAGAGATCTGGGATACAAAACCTCTCCTGTCCTTGCCACAGATTCCTACTACTGTCTGAAGTGAATCACTAATAATCTTCCTAAGGGTTTTTGTGGTGTTATTACTTCTTGTCCTGTTTGGAGCACAGGGAAGATAAGTTGCTCAAGAGAGTTCAACACCTTTATCCCCATCTCCATCCAGAGCCTGGATGATGCACAGTGGGCAAGACATGCAAACACAATATGTAGCCAAAAAAGGAAAAAAGGTTGAACTTTCATCCCATGTCATGTTTGTCATCACTGAACACTGAATAAGGCAGGCTCTAAAGATAAATAGTATCCACTAATGTCATAAAACATTTTGTCAAAATGCAGACACAAAAGTTGCTGAATTAGCACTGGCTTTTCATAGCTTTGTCATCTGTGGAGTTGCAGCAAAGCTCTTTGAACACAGAAAATTCTGTGGAGTGCTGTGTCAAATTGCTCCTGTCACTAAAAGCAGCTTCAGTTTGCATGTGTTGTGCAAAGTGCCTGAAACTAGCTGCAAAACAACGGTGGAAAATCCTGTCTCTAAATGGGCAATTTCTGCCTGTGAAACAATAACATAAGTTTCTATGCCTTCAAGTAACAATTTCCATGCTCCTTTTTCCTTTCTAAAGACCACCATCCACCAAAGTGGAAGAAGGCTGAGGAACACACACTAGTGAGAGAGCAACTTTTGTTTTGTAAGTGAACATGCCCTTTTTAATTCACAACATATTCTTGCTGTGGAAAGGTAAATACGAATCAACCAAAGGTGACTTTCTGATATTTCTGCCCAGGCTCATCAAAGAGTCTATCTTATCTTGTACCTTAAAGTTTGTGTGTTTGTTTTTTTTTCCAGTGTATGCAGCAAGAAAGAACAACTCGTGTTCTTCAATTCCCCATTTTGATCCTCATTTAATGCAGTGTGCTCAGCAGCTCCATTTCTTGCAAAAAAAAAAAAAAAAAAAAAAAATCGGCCAAAGAAACAATTTATTTGCTTTTCAGTGCAATAACACATTGTTCATTTAGATTTTTACTAAATTGTTCTATGTAAAAATGCAAGCAATGTTCTCAGAAAGTAGGAGCTAACCAAGACACTTAACTGCTGTAACATTTTAGAAACATTTCAATATAAACATACTTTTCTGGCAAACCAGTGCCGTATTCACATTCCCCCTTTGACTGTAGAACTGAACTTTCTTTTTTCTTGATACGTATTTACATAAAAGACATTCTCGTTGAGCAGAATGAGCCAAGTCCTAGTGGCTTTGGATCTTTCTCGTTACTTTCTACACCCATCTAGTGGACACAACCAGTACCACAGGATAAATTTCCTGTCACGACCCCGATGTGCACGTCTTGCACATACCTGTAGTTATTTGTTGGTGCAAGCCACAGGGACTCTCCTAGCTGATGAAACTGCAGTTTCAGCTAATAGACTTTCAATTAAAAAAAAAAATCAATCATTATTTTATAATCTGACGGTGATAGCATTCATAGAAACCTTAAGTTCTGACTGGGAGAAATAACACTGATCATAAGATATTCATATCATGTCCACAACGGGTGGGTGAAAAAAAATAAACAAACCTGAAAAAAAAAAACAAACCATGTATTTCTTTAATCCAATAAAATACCTTATGATCAGATGAATAATTAAGTCTAATTTAAATGAAATCATTAGTTACTGCTTATTCAAAATTTTCCTGTTGTACTAGAGACTTACATTTACCTTCATTTATCTTCCACTTTTAATTTTTGCTTTAGACGTTTCAGAGTACTTTACATATGTCTGAAATGATACTGGCATTGCAGAAGTTAGTCTTATTGAGCACAGGACTAAACAATCCTCTGCTGTTTAACCTAAAATTGCATGAAAGACCTGCATTCAATAGAAAAGCAAAACATACAAACTGTGTATTGTTTAGGAGTCTGAATAGTCTCACAACTGTTTAAAGAAAAAAGAAATAATTAGGCAATGAAATAGGAGTGTCAGGAAAATTTGATAAAGTGAGCTCACAGATGTTGCAAACCCTTCATTGATACTGTATTTTGTGTTCCTGGAACAGTCAGGCATTCAAAGTCAAAAGATACTGTTTGCTAATGAATAATAGTAGTCATGCTAGTAGTAATGGCAATATGGTTATTAAAAGCAGAAGCTGCAAGGATGTTCTAGTAGTATCCATGGTATTATGCCATTTCCAGTATGTTTTCTTTCTTTTCTCTTTTTTTTTGTTTTTGTGAGCAGATCTCACAATGATCACAAAGATGCAATAATAATTAGGGAAAATGTTTTCCAAGAGCACCCCACAGGCTGTGGCAGAACTCTCATTTGATGTCTTATGGGTTAGCTTTGGTAGTTTAAGATAGATCATGTTATGTAGTAGCACATTTGAGGACACAGAAAAAATATTTAGACATAATCAAAAGAAATCAAACTTGGGAAGAAGTGTATGTGTTAGGATTTGCTGACAGTGAATTTTTCTGGAAACAACAGTGAAAATAGGATTAAACTGCTAAGCTTGGTTGATTTCTTTCTAATTCCATTTTCTAAACAGTTAAAATTTTGCTTTTCTACATTCAGACTGTGAAAAGTGAATACATAATAAATTATGTCATCCGAGAGCAGCAGAAAGATTGCAGTTTCAGGAATATGTGCAAAGTAACAATGAAACAATGGAATAAAACATGAAACCAAGGTCCATTCTGTGCCAGGCAATGTACATCTCTGTCAAAATAAGCAATAAGTGTTTCTTTGATTGGTTCATTTAACAAAGGAAAAAAGGCCATTGGAATGCTACCAGTAAAACATAAAGCTTCAACCTCACTGCAACCTTGGGTCCCTAATAGATAACAGAAAGAAACAAGCTGGTGTGGAAAGCAGCATGTACCTGCTGTGACTCCTGCACTAGTCTGAAGTCTAATCAACAGCTGACAAATATTGAATATTTTCTCTTCTGCTGTCATTAGATAGAACTGAAAACTGGTGGATGTCCTTCACAAAAATACTGGTTTCAAAATGAGTACTTTAGATGCGTTCAATGTATGCATACTGTGATGCTAACACTGATCCATGTTTAAAAAATAGTGTGAAAGATGCTCTATTTATTCCTCATTCCTAAATGCTGTAGCAGTATTATTTAAGTTCCCATTAGTATGGCAAACAAGCCCAAGTAGTTAGAAGTCAAGGTCTCATGCACATCTTTCCTACTGTGCTGTAAAGCTAAACTGATCTTTGGTTTTAGAGAGACACAACCAACTAGGGAAACAGAAATAATCTGCTTCTGCCTGGATAAAATGTGCTCCATCCCACCAGATGGAGACATAACCTTGCTAATCCACACATCTGTAACCTCTGGGATTGCATACCACAACACATGAAGTCTAAAAGCAGAGCCACATGCTCCGAAAAGACTCCATATGGTACCAAATGCAGCTGTCGGGCTGCTAGGCAACGTGGATTGCCATGAGCACGTCCTCTCAGCACAGCCAACCCTAAGATAGTTTCTAATTGATTGCAAACTCCCATTCAAGGTCTTTACACTGATTTTAAAAAGCCCTTTGTGGAAACATTACAGACTACATGAAAGAGCATCTTCTCTCTCCTTCTCTCTCTCCCCTTGCCCTTCAGCCTCTCATGACGGCGGTGTTCCCTCAGAATGATAAGCCTGTTTACCTCTCTTAATACCAAACACAATAACTAGAAGTGTTGGATCTAAACTGCCTAGTTCAAAAGCATGAATGGGCACAGGAGTTGTGCTGCTTGGCAGTGAGCAAAGAATTCTTTTCTTCTATATGTTTGTAAAATAGCAACTGTAATACATGCAGACATGCTCAAGCACACACATACATCTTAATCCCACCCCAGAGTTTCATTTATTGAGATAGACAAAATATATTCTTGAAATATTTGGGTAGTAATGAAATATTAGGGTCAGGTACTCAATAACAAGAGAGCCGTTAATTGCCTCAACAGTGGGAGACAGGATAAGGAGGGTCCAGCTCAAGAGACTTGGGGCCCAAGGAAGAAAACAACGAAACTTCATATTCCTTCAAGTGCAGAGCTCACAGATCTCTGCATGCAGAGATCCATAATGTTTCCTGTACTCCTAATAGTGATTTTTCTCTACAAAATTTATTTTCCTTCAGAGTTCTTCTTTTTTTGTTGTCAGCAATTTTAAAGTGTATTTTGGTTTAGCAGTGGACTTGACCCGGTCTTTATTTACAAATTTTTATCAAGAAGCAATTACCTAATGATAAATTTGTCAGAAAAGTTTTTATTACTTTCAAAATTCTTATGTCAATGGCATAAATCTTTTTATTCTTTCTTTTTGCAGTTTTGATGTAGACAATGGTACGTCATCGGGACGAAGTCCCTTGGATCCCATGACAAGCCCTGGATCAGGGCTAATTCTTCAGGCAAATTTTGTCCATAGTCAACGCAGGGAGTCTTTCCTTTACCGGTCAGACAGTGACTATGACCTGTCTCCAAAGTCCATGTCCAGGAACTCCTCCATTGCCAGTGATATGTAAGTACATAAAATACTTTTAGCCTATGTTTTGTCCTGTCATGTGATTTTTCCAGCCACCAGAAATTTCCTTTAAAAATCAAAGACAGTAATCACTTATGCTATTGAAGTAATGGATAATTGCTTGTTTATTTCTTTACTGAAGCTTGTACTTGGTTTTGCAGTTTTCTGAAACTAAGGATATCATGAGGGTGTACTTGGTGTGTTTACACACTTTATTAGCTTTGACAGAATAGTGAAAACAGTTAATACTATGGTGTCCAAACACTAAGGAGGGCTCTGATTTCCTGGCTAGTAAGTTCTTTTCAAGAGAAGTGATATAAACTCAATTTCTGCTTCTTAATGTTCTTAGAAACAATTCCATTTATTTTCACCAGGTATTTTTATGTTTTTGGAGAAAAGATTTACCAGATGGCAGAAATTAAAAAATCCGAGAGAAGCAAAGGTTACTTCAGATACCCTTTTAAGTAAAAGGCAAAATTTTAACAAAAGGCTTTTGGAAAGTTATTCTTTCTGACTGTTCTTCTCTGTTGTGTGTATTTTCTGCTGGTGGGTCGTATTTTTGAAGTATGTGTGTACCCCAAGTTGCATGGGTAGTGGAAGTCAATTGCAAATCTCTGTTTTTTTGTAAGACATGGAAAACATGCTAGATAATAGCTTCTAGACGCTTCTAAGTAGTAGAAATTAAGAATAACAGATTTGTTTTTTGTTTGCCTTATCTGCTCCAAATTTCACTGCCAAGTAGGAATTTATGGTTCAATTACAAATCACTAAAATAAAGGACAAGGCTTGTAAGAGTCCCCAAGGGGCAAGGAGGTCTAAAATGTTAAAAAAATTCAGTATTAAGTTAAAAGCTGATTTTTTAATGAGGCAACACCCAATCAATATGCTCTGTAAAAAATAAGAGTACAAACAGCAAAGGAAAAAGTTTTTCATTATAATGAGTGAAATTTCACCTGATATTTAATTTGCAGTCATTATATATGAACACTCCTATTTTCAGCTTACATATAATTTTTAGAAATGTTGATAAGAACATCTAATTATAGCTCTCTTTCTGTGTAAGTGTCAAGATGAGAAAGATTCATGCCTTTACAGAGGGTTTGTGTTAGGACCATACCTCAGTTAAGCATGTAGACTGAAGAACTTTTTAAGCTTTGTGCACAGTGTGACTGATTTTGGATGAGACAAAATGAGTAAGAAAATGGCCAATCTATCTTGCTTTGCCATAAATAAAAATGCATTTTACGTGGAAATAGTGACCCCCTCCCAGAAAATTCTCCACTGACAAATAGCCTTTCTTTTAGAAGGACCACAGTGAAGCTTTTAGTGCGGCACCTGTGCCAGGATACCATTTGGAAAAATTTTTACCTTCAGGGGGACAATCCAGGTCATTGTGCTGCTTAGATGAGTCATTTCAATTAAGAATTCAATTAGTGCTCCATCCTTGAACTCATAATCCACTTCTGCATTTCCTAGAATTCTGGGTAATATTTCAGCACATGGCAGTAAATTGAATAAACAATTGAATTACTGAAACACTAAGCATACTTCTTCCTTTGGATATTTGTATCTATTCTTCCTTTCAGTTTTTTCTTAAAACACATCTGTGTATAACATTCTTTTCCTTATGTCTGGATAAGTATTCACAGTCTCCTGTCACAAAGGAGCTGTTGTTCTAAGAAGGTAAAGTATTCCTCCTATTGCTTAGGATGGGAGCACATTAGGAAATGTAAGAGGCAAGTTGTTTTAACAATGGAATATTAATCATATATCAGTAAGCCTAATTATAATAAGCCTCATTATCTCACAGAAATGAAGTAAAAGAAAACCAAGGAATGAAAGAGGGAAAAGTAGGTAGGAAAAAAAAAAAAAAAAAAAAAGAAGTTTTTTTAAGAGGAGAAACTGGATGTGCTCATAGAAAGGAAACCCACTGAAAATTATTAAAATAGAGAAGCCACTCTGGTTCAGGACATTCCTAAATGACACAGAGGCTGGAAGTTATCAGGGCAAGTATCACACAAATTTTAGATTACTCACAAATTATTCTATTTCTCTCTAGCATATTCCCTACATGGTTAATTTTCAGTATTGCATGTTGGTTGAGCATGAGCTACAAAATATTACAAAACATACACATCATCCAGGTAATGCAGGTGAGTTAATATTACACAACAGTCTAACCTGGAAAGCCCCCATTCTTCAGTGCTTGCGTTACCAACCTCTATATTTCACTTTGTAAAGCAAAACAGAAAGCAGAAGGCATGCATCTTGTATTTGTAAGGAATATAACATGATGATTTCTGGCATTTACAGTAATACATTCCACTTCAGTAGCAGCAGATGAAACAGAACTTGAAGTTTAGTCAAATGCGGAATGTTGTGATAAAAGACAGCCAGCAGATGGCAGTGCTAAAGTACCAAAGTCATCCTTGTGTCATTTATTTGCGCAGTTCCAGCCAAGGAAGGGAACACGGTCGTGCTCAATTCTTTGCGAACCCAAGACGAAAAGATGGACTCTGCCACAAACAACAAGATGAAGCATAAGATAATAACCAAGAAATTAATATAGTTAGACACTATCCCCAGGCAAAGGGACAGCATGAGTCCCTGTGCCCAAAGTAGTAAACCTCACAGAGCAACCAAAGGGATTTTCATTCAGTGAGCTGAAAGTGAGGAAAGTAGCATTCAGTGAGGAAAGTAGCAGAAACAAAGGCAGAGAAGAGGGAGGTCGAAAGTTTTTAAAATCAGAGATACTGAGTATATTTTAAAGTGAGGCGCCAGATTAGCTATTGGAAAGAATAAAGGGATGAGCGCAAGGCCACTGACATGAGAGGAGGTTAGTTGGACAAATGTGGGTGCAGTTATGGCATTAGAAGAGGCAGAAGCAGACATATAGTAAGAAAAGAAAAACAAATTAAGGAGTGGGATCAATAGCTTTATTATTATTATTATTATTATTATTATTATTTCTTGGAAACAATAGTACAGTCCTAGTGGAAAAAAAGCAGGACATGGAGATGATATGAGGAGGTTCAAGGCTGTGAACCAGAGAGGCAGGTGGTTTAGACAGTAAGATGCAAGGTCCAAGGCAGGAGGGCACAGATGTGTGTGAAGCATGACAATGGGTTTCCAGCAGAGAGATGACAATGTGCAAGAGAAAAAGAAGTGAATGAGTGATACACTGGGGATGAGTAAGCCCCTATAAGGAATTACAGGGCAGGATCTGTGATGAGAGACAGGAAAATAAGTTTAAAGGGAAGGAGAATAAAGAATAGAAACTTTGAAGTCCCCAACAGCACTATTGCAACAAAGGGAACAAACTAGCTGAAAGATGAGCAAAATCATCAGCGCTGTGTTGGAAGAATTGTCAGGTCTACATTTGAAGACATCAGTAAAGCAGGGAACTTTGCAGATGTCTTGCAGAGGAGGCCTGATTACATAATACTCACCTGCTTGAAGTCCTATTGCATCTCAGAACTTGCAAATGCACAGAAGCTGAAGTAGTAACACTTTTTATGCCTTTCTTGCTAAGGGATCTCTGCCCTGATTAATGGAGCAGGAGATTGAATTAGCAGAGAATCTCTGTTTTAGCAAAACCCAGGTCTCTAACCAGGTTAAGAATGGATTCTTCAATGAGACCATTAGCAATCTCATGAACACTAGAAGGAAGCCAATAAGCATTTCACTACCTGGGGCATGTTTTAACTGCCACTATAAAGGGAGAAAACCATGTTAGTCCCCCCTGTGATCCTGACGAAGCAGACAAGAGTGTAGCAGACCAGACCAGAGGACCAAAACAATCCAGTTACAGCAGCCTGTCTGAGCTCCACTAGGTCTTCTGAATGTACATAAGGAAAAAAGGTTTGGGAAGTCTACGCTTTCCCCATTTCTACTAGGCCACAGAACACAGCTCAGATGTAACATCCTGGTCTTTCTAGGATTTGGCCAACTGTACCTCACTCAGTAGGTGGTGTGGGAAGTCTTACGGGCTTCAGAGAGGCTCAGCATTGTTTCCTCAGTCAGATGAAATGCCCCTATAAGCTTTAATTAATATAATTACATAAAATCTGGTAATTTCTATTAGACCTTGCTTCTATATTTTAAGCACCAGAGCCCACTAGAGAACACTGACTGAAGTGTCACTGGCCTGGTGATCGGCCAAATAGCTGAATGGCCACCAGTACACCCATTCCCCAGACTTGCCAACCTACTGCTGTTCTGCTAATACCTTTTACAGGTAGCAGCATCCGTCTTCTGCTGTCCATGGTAAAAGAAATGTCAGGAGGATGCAATTTACCCTAGGATTTTTCCCCAGTAAATACAGTATTATCCTGCCTTCTCCTAGAGGATGTACTGCTTTGTAGACTGTACCTGAATGTACCTGTAAACTTTGGCTCTACATTAAACAAATAAACAAACAAACAATCATCTCTTTGAATAATAAAACCTAAATGCGGATTATGTTGCAATGAAAAGAGCCTCTGTAATTTGATAAACATAGATACTGACATACAGAGATTTGGCTGGTTTTGTCAGGATGAATTATCCCCTTCTTCAATTGCTGGAGAAATAATTGTGGGATTTATAATTTGTGTGGGTTTTTTTCTTTTTTCAAAAGAAAAGGAAATAATCTGTAATTTTGCAAAGAGTAAAGAATAATGGAATTATTCTGGCTGCAAAATTACCTTAAATAAAGGGAAATTCCAAGGTAGAGAGTTCCCTAATTTCTCAGTAACTGGCAGGTCTGATACCAACCTGAAGCTACAAGTAGGATGAAATACCCCTTTAGCTGGCATGAGAAAGGGCTGCCAGAGAAGAGAATTTTTGAGGTAAACTAGCTCAAATGTTTCCCAGTTCTCAACGGTCTGCTCAGCTTTTTAAAAATTGCATTCTATTCAATCTGGATCAGATTCATAAGCAAAATGTACTTCAAAATGTACTCCAGGCAAAGAGGGCAAGCCTGGACAGTTAACAAGGTTCACCTGAGCCTTTAATAT